CGCACTCCCTCTTGGCACAGCCCATGCCACACTCCCTCCCATGCTGGGCAACAGCCCTGACCAGCATGCGCAGCATCCTGGAGGGACTGCTCCTGGTGTGGCTGTTGTGGCCTGAGTACTGCTGGGCTCCCTCTGCCTCCAGTGGCTTCCCCTTCCCCTCCCCCTCCCCTTGCTCTGCCACTATGTGCAGCAGGTAGGACAGGAAATGACCATGGTCATGGAGACGAGTGCCAGGCACCACACATCAAGCTAGGCAAGGGTGGGAGGAAGCTGCAGCCAGGTGGCTCCTGCCCCAGTGCATGGGGCTCCAGGTCCTACTCACAGCTGCTTTCCACCAGTCTGTTGCCCTGTGGGGTCAGGCGAACACTCAAGATCTCAATATCACACTGTTAGACAGGAGGGCATGGTGTACAATTATACACACACACACACACAAAAATTAATTAGGTGCACACATACACTGTAGGTGCATACACCCCCACCAGGCGTGCACACACACACCACCAACTCAGGCACATACACATCCAAAATTACCAGCCTAGGCACATGCACACCTATCACCAATTCAGGAGCCTACACACTATACACACCAAGAGTTAGACAAAAATCATTTGTCAATACCCTCACACCCAATACACATACACAGATCATTAGTTCGTTTATCACACACACGATGACATATATACATATATGTATACTCACCAGTTCACACGCATGCCAGCCACCTACACATACACACAGGTGAGTTCCTAACTTGGACGGTATGGTATGTATGTGTGCGTGTTTGGGGTACCTATGCTTACGGTGCTTGGTAACTAAAGAGCAAGTGGCAGAGATCAGGAGAAAAGGCCATGGGGACAAGGCGATAGCAGTGACAGAAATCAGGTGAAAGGCAGTGGGGACAAGGCAATAATAGTATTTGTGGTCACTGTTCAGGGTGCCACCCTAGCAGTTTTGTCCAGACTCCTGGTCCATCACACTCTGCTCCTGGCTGGCTAGGGATGTCGGTAGCCAAGCCTGCAGATGTCTACCCTCCCCCATTTCCATGGATAGAGGGCAGATTGGCAGCAGATTCGGGTACAGGTTAAAGACGGGGAGAAGTTGCGGCCCACAGACTGATGAGTGAATGCAATGTCTGTCTCTGTTTATTATAGGCACTAGGAGGAGAAGCAGAATCATGACACATAAGCAGGAGTAAGCTGACAAGGAGGCAAGAAAACCATGCCAGCCCAGACAGGTAAAGGAGTTTTGACAAGGTGACTTTTTTGGGGGGGGTGTAACAGGGGGCCTGCTCGGGGCCGATCCCACCATGGCCCGCCCACCTGTACTTCGGCTAACTGCCCGCCTTCTTGTCCGCCACGCCTTGATCTTAAAAATTAATTAATAGATGTATTTAAGCAGCAGGCTGCACATTTTCTGCCCCAATGCTAGGGGGCACTATCTGCAGCTCCATTCCTCCCCTACACCACAGCCCAAGCCTCACAGATGGCATCTCGATGTTCTCACTATCACCAGCCCCCACACTGGGCCCCAGAATCCTCCTGATTGAACTCCAACCTGGAATCAACTCATCAGGCAGTCTCATCTGCCTTCATACTGGGCAGCATAGCTCCCTGAGCTGGTTCTCCTTCAGGTGCGGTCCCTCCACTGAGGCCTTTGGCTCATCTAGCTCTGGCCAACCTCCAGGCCAGTCAGGACCCCAGGCCCTCAGCTCTTGGGCATCCCTCATGGTGGGCCCCTGGCCCTTCGACCCTTCTGGTCCTGGCCCCAGCATGGGCCAATCAGGGGAAACTTAGACAGGCCTGAGTCTATGGCCCTTTTCTCATTCTTCGAGGGTCCACCCTCTGGGCCCTCCACACAAAGGGGTAACCCACCCAGTGGTGGGGGTTAGGGGTTAAGGCACCCCAACCCACCTTCCACCAGGGTAGTAACTGGCCTGGCATTTCCTGGGGGCTCCCGCACCACTTGGAGCCCCACCAGGCCATCCACTCCTGGCAGGGTGTAGTTTTAGGTCATACTCAGGACCAGGAGCCTCCTTGCCATCCCCTACAGCTCCTCCCTTACCTCCAGATGAAACTCAGCAGCCCTCTGGCCAGGCAGTGTTGTTGCCTCACCTCTAGCAGCCACACTGCTTTGTTTATATAGGCAGGTCTGAACCTAAAATGGCTGCCCTCATTAGTCACCCAGCGGCTGTCAGCTCCAGGGCCTTAAAGTGGCAGGCACACACAATGCCCTGCCACAGGGGGGGTGTTCCATTGTCAAACTGTAGATATTTGGATCAATTTGGGATCAATTGTCAAGCTGTAGACCCTAGAAGGCTGGACTGCTGGCACCTCCTTATAAGCAAGTTTCATGCCTTAGCTCCTGATGTTGTCATGCATGGGTCAGTTTTAGGTGGAGTCCTGAGGATCCTGTAAACCAGAGGTACGTCATGTCTCCCTTCTTTTTACAAGGCAGTGAGCGTTAGGACAGTGGGCGTTGTGACCCTCCTGTCACTTGGGTAAGAGTCTGTTCCAGCCGCAAGTGGGCAGGCACTCGTTCCCCCACTCACTGCTGTTATCCGGTGTTTCATTACATCCCCCACTTGAGTGCGGATGTTTTCAACCTTTTCGTCCTTTGAGAGGTTTGAGTTCCCTGTCAGGAAAGCTGTAGCTTATGCCCGTTGTCCTCCAGGTGTGGGCGGCTTGCTTTCTTGAACCGTACCACCTGAGCAACCCTCGTTTGGCTGGCTTTCTGCTACGGAAGCTGGTGCTTGGGAGTGGGCACCATCCTGTCAGTAGGATCCTAGATGCTGTCTATTGTGCCATAGTATGAGTTGGGCCTGTAGGCTTGTGGCCCACAGCTTTCCATGTCCAACTGACTCAGTCTTTGGAAGCTGAACAAGGAGGTGTCATGCTCACCCCTCTGTCCAACAGAAGACAGATCACCGGGGTTACAGGGAAGGACCAAACACAGAGACGTTACTTCTTGTCTCAGTATCTGGCTCCAAGCCTTACACCCAAGCTGTGTTTCCCTGGTTTTTTGCTGGGGTGGGTTGTTATTTCTCTTCTTTTTCCATTTTGCAGCTGCCAGAAGGACAAGCAGCAGGCAAACCATGAGAGGCCAAAAGCCAGCAAACCAGGATGCAAAGGAAAGGGACTCTGGACAAAGTGGCCTCCCTGCCTTTAGGTCTCGATCATGAATTGGCCAAAGTTTGGGTGCATGAGCCTTTGGGTGAGCTCCCTGTAACCCAGAAATAGGTCTTTGTCCTTGATGCTGTTGTACTTCTGCAGCAGGCAGGTGGACAACCCTGTAAACAAGGCGTGTGTCACTGCCACCTCATTCGTAAAGCCCGCAAATCTGGTTGGTGGTCTTCTGCAGCACAGCTGCCCTGTAATCAGGGTTCAGGCCAGCTGCCAGATATGGCTACCGATGGCACAGGCTCCCATAAGTGGGGTGTGTGCTGCCTCCTACCAGAGGAAAAGGACAGTGGATTTGGACGTGTGTAACGCTGGATGCCCTGTAACTGGGAGGCTACATGCACTGCCAAAGCCAGCCAGTCGGAGAGGTGACCCTGTAATCAGGGTGGGCATAGCCTCCTTCCGTTGGTGTGAGATAGCCAGAGCAGTCTGCAGCATTGTGCCACAGGGCAGCCTTGCAGACAGGAGCTGAGTCTCGTGGGGTGATGGCAAACTCCTTAGAACCCAGAGCTTGAGGACCTTCCCGTGGCTGAGTTGAAGCCTGTGGCCTCCACCCCCTTCCTTGTGTCCAGGCACCTGTCCTTCCTGCATCTGTGCCTAGCACTCCACATCTGGATGGCTGGGCTGCCTTGTAATGAGGGTGTGAGTCCTGAGTCCCTGGTGGAGGGCGAGGTTCCGCAGAGCTGTGGACCTCCATGTAAGCAGGGTGCAGGTCTCAATGTGCCTTTGAGGACAGCTCTGTCCTTTCACTGGCTGTGGGACCTCCCTGTAAGCAGGGCTCTGAGCCTTTCCCTTTTATCCATTGTGAGCAGTGTGGCTAGTCAGACGGACCGTGTCCTATAAGGAGGGTGCAAGTCCTGTGCCTCTGGGGGAGGGCTAGGTTCTGCAGAGCTGTGGACCACCCTGTAAGCAGGGTGCAAGTCTCGCTGTGCCTTTGGGAACAGCTTTGTCCTTTGGCTGCCCTGTTGGCCCTCCCTGTAAGCAGGGCTCTGGGCCTTTCCCTTTTGCCCCCTGAGGGCAGTCTGTCTGACTAGTCAGGTGGACCGTGCCCTGTAAGGAGGGTGCTGGTCTCAGCCTTCTTTCCCCCTGGGAGCGGAGGAAGATTTTCCAGTGGAAGGCTAGAGGTTAAGCGGTTTGCAGCACGGAGCTCCTTTCCAGCCTGGAAACAGTCTTTTTCCCTTGTCAGTGTGGACAGCGAGAGAGAGGAGTGCCTGGGAGCAAAAGCATTTGTTATTTTCTTTTTGTTCTTAAAATAGTTGTAGTGTACTTTATTTTCTTCCCAGTGCTGGAAAAGGGGCGAGATGCGTCCTCGTAGTCTTCTCCTCCCACTTCCTCACCTAGGGGGTTAAGCACTGCTATAAATTCTTGTGCCTTCTGGCCTGGGGGAGCATTAGGCCACCCCCAATAATTTCGGAAACATGACCTCCCTGTATCTCATCATATGTCAATATGCCTGCGTCACCTGGGAGCCATTCCTAGAGCGATTCCATACATACCAGGTGGCAGTGCAATGTTCATAATTAGTACTGAAGAACCCCCAAAAGAGACAATTAAATTAAACAGTCCACTTAAGCAGTAGCTGCTGAAATGTCACCATGGGGTTACTTCTTCATAGTACGAAGGCCCCTGATAATAATAAATATTGGTTGGGCACATCTAAATATAGTAACAGCTCTTATGTTGCATAATTAGCTTTATTGTTTGAGGAGTACTATTGGATACTGGTAGGGCTGTCAACCTTAAATCTACAATTGATTAAAGAAAGCAATTGGAACTGAAGAGATCACCATTTTAAAATGTTTCCTTATTCCCTTTTCTTTTGGTTTTCAAAATCTATACACAACGTAACTGGCAGATCACAAACAAAGTCACCTTTTCAGAGCGGAAATATCTAACTTCAAAAAAGTGCTTACTGATGTTGGAGCTTGATCTTCAAGCTACCTCTCTTCAACACATTAGTGATATAGGACAATTAGTTCCTCATCAAAAAGAAATATGGCATTTCAGAATTCAATTTTTATTATTGTAAGTGTTTGATTTTACATCTTACATACCTAAGCATTGTCAGGCAGCTGGGATGGAATGCATTGAGCTAGATCTATCCTTTTCATTAAAAACATGTCATACCTTAAGGGAAGCATGTTTTTCTATAGGGATTGCTCTACAATTTAATTACAGTAGGCTATCTTCTCATTTTATGAGATTCATTGGTACCATGGCAGTACAGTATGATTTATATCAGCACAGCCTGCCCTGTCATCACGGTAAGCATAGCATTACTGTCCTCAGGAAAAAAAAATATGGTTGGCAAAAATTCTGTGGACAAGCTGCAAAAGTGACAGTACACCCTACACTTCACAAGGTGAAATATATAAGCCCACTAATAAACCATTATCCACCAGAAACATTACAGAAACATGATCTAGCTAGGGAAGAGAGAACCTCTGTATTTTTTTTTTTATCCTGCATGAGCCAAGTAAGAGGACTAAATTTCCCATTTGTTTGTTTATGTTTTCTCCAGAAGAGAAGGGAATGGAGTTGATAGACCATATTTCATGAAAGTAGAAACACTGCAAATTCTTCTTGGAGAACATACTGTCATTTTGACATTTTTAAATGGCTATTTATGCATTTATTTGTTTATTAAAAATCTGTAAAAAGTTGTACCCAACAGAAATGCACACGTATTCTTACCAAGGAGGTTGACGAGGATCAAATAGTCAGATGAATCAGGCAGTTTGGAAACAATCTATACACAACCTGTATTAATCTTACATAAAGGGTGCTGAGGTGCAAGCAGATTAAAGCCTGGAGCCCATATTTATGGTGAGAGGGACAGCATTTCATCAGGGAAAAACCTTACTAGTGTTATGACAGAGAGAACTAACAGCACAGATGCCATTCTCTTTTGTTGTTAGGCAATGTTTTCATTTAAAAAAGAAAAGGTTTTTAGAAAACTTTAATGTTCTTAGTTTAACCAGTGCTGCCAATTCCTCTCTTCTTTTTTCTTTCTTGCAGTTCTCATGCTGGTCAGTGATTTTTCTAAAGCCTGAGAGGCTAGAATCATTTCAGTACATGGGAATCTGAGCACCTTAATCCTCACTGTCTTTTTAAAACAAAGTTCTAGATGTTGTATTTTTTGGGGGGGGGGGTTCCCTAGAGAAAAGCTTCAAGCACAATGTAATCCAGCAGCATATAATGAGAAGGTGTGGAAGATTAAAAAAAAAAAAAGCTCAAAATTTATTAATAAAGTGTCATGATTTTTCAGCAAATCTTGTGATTTTTTTAAATCCTTTTTAATCCTTGAGGCTGGTAATACTGTTCACTGTTTATCATTTCTACTGCCTTGAAAAATAGAGCTGCAAATGTTTTAATAAAGGGGTAGAGAGTTCTTGTAGCTTCCACACCTGTCACTGATGTAACCTTGAGGGAATATATACCATCCTAAACTTATAAACTCTACTGCAAAGCAAAATCAACATGCTTCTATATCAGTAGAAGTGAGACACACGAGGATTTCTCCCCCAATACTTCTACCACCAGTGTCTTTAGCAGAAAGCAATAAAAATGATAAAACAGGATTAGCTCTGTCATGAATGTTTCAGCCTCTTTTGCTGGCTATACAGGGATGCTTGGTAGGATTATAGGTTTAGGGAACCACAAGTGCTCCCCAATCCCATCTTGCAAAAGGAGAGAATGGAGAGTGCACACAGGCTTCATATAGGTCACAAGTAAAAACAGATCATGGCATACAGGGAGTAGTCCATGAGCTTTCTGCAAGAGCAGGGATTGTGACTATCCTGATTTGTGAAAAAATAAAACTTGGATTAAAAGAAGTTCCTTCCACCATCAATTTACAAACTCACATATGCAAGGTCCAAAAGCAATCTGGTATCTGCAGACTGAAAACAATGCAGAAAAACAAGTATTGTGAGATATTCCCATGACTTCCATGTCTAAGGCTAAATACAGACAAAAGCCTGAGGCTGAATAGATTCAATCTTTGCAGCTTAGTCTAGATTGAACCAGTAAGCAAATGAACAGACATTCATTTTTGATTCCGGAAATGTAGCCACATGCCTGCAGTGGCCCAGGTCAGGAACTGGGGCGGGCCACTAGAGCATGCCTCCCTAATCGGTTGGAGCAGACAGCTTGGGGCAAAGCTAGCCTGACCACCCTGTTAAGCAGGAGCTTGTAGGGGAAGTGCAAAGCAACCTGGGATGCTGGAGGGGATCTGCAACACAAGTTCAATAAACCAATTTAAATTAAATGGGTGAAGTCTGATGCTGCATTCATTCAGGTTTATCCTAAACCAGTTTCAGACATTTTGAAAGCAGTTTATATGCCATGAACTTCTCTTGTGTTACAGATTTGAAGAGGCTTCAGATCACTTATACCGGTTTATGTGTAATTTCTGTCCCTAAACGTGAGACATTTTCATAATTTTCCATAATGTCTATATTTGTCCTTGGACCTCTCTCATCTGGAACCTGGGCACTGAACAATTACAGTGAACAGAGGGAAAAAAAGCAATAGGAAAAACACATGCACTAGAACCATGAAATCTTATTTTTGAGGGGATTGTTTTAGCATCAAAGCTTTTGAGCCAGATGTAGCTATCAATAGGGGCAGTGATATGGGATATCTCTGAGCAAAGACCACAAAAATGATTTATAATTTAGTTAAAACTTTCATTATTAAAAAGGGACTTTGTTGAAATATGTGTGTGTCTGCCAGTCATTCTCTTGATTTCTCAAGATACTGGCCTATTTGGAGACCAAGTTATTAAAAATAATCTTTGTTGTAATAGTTATTGAACTGATGCTATCAAAAGGACTCTATGATTTACAGCACCTGTCTCTAAGGAGGCTTTACCCAGGATTCTGTTGTTGTAGTTGAGGATGCATGTAGCTGAGGATGTAGTTTGGGACTGGATTCTGCTATTCAGTAAAATCTCATTTTTCTCTTTCCTTGGTGCAAACACAACTGCTCTGGCCCTTGGAAGGAGGCTGTAGGTAGCCCAATGAAAATTCATTCTCCCCCTCCTTTTAACAGAGCAGGCTGATCAGCAGAAGAGCAGAGGATCACAGTGGGTGCATCCTACATGAGCCACCCACTGCTCAGTTGTTACTGCGCAGTCATTTAGTACTTGCGTAACCAAGTACTACAGGACTGCTCAGTAACCTGTGTTACTGCACAGAAGTATCCCAGCACAGTTGCCTAGTGACACTTACTGTGCAGTAGCTCATTACTACTATGCAGTAGCAATGAGCTACTGGACATTAAGCATCTTGTGTAGAGATGACGTTTTCCCAGTATTTAGAAAATACTACAGAAAAATTATGCCCACAATTGGCACTTCTGGCAGTGAAGTTACAGAATAGAAAAACTTTACAAAAAGGAGCCCATGATCATTAAGCCAGTCTCATAATTTTTTTAATGTGTGGTTTTAGTAATTCCACTCACTGGTTCATCTATCCAGAAGTAAGAGCTGCACACTATTAAATAAATGTTTTCATTTCACTATACATTGTTAGAAATATATACTAGGAAGGAACAAAAAGTTTGCATCTGGTCACACCAGAAGTTCAGGAAATTTAGACAAAGACCTGGGCTAGAGCCAGTTCTCTATTACACTTTATCTTGTGAAGTCACTTACATCAGTGAAAACTGAATAAAAATGGAGGTTAAATACTAACAAAATCAGGAGGGTAGCATTTAGCCAGTTATATATAAGATATTACAAAAGATATACAGAAATGGAGCAACAGGCCCTTCAGGTTTAACATTGACTACTGGCTCTGTAAAATTACCTTTATAAAAATCAATACTCGTAACTCAACAATGCAGCTAAGTACATGCCCATCCTCCAAACCTTTTCTGAGTAGCCAGAACTTCCATATCTATGAAACACAATATGGCATTTGCCCTATTCTTTCTGTGTAAACATATTTTGTGTGAGTGAGTGAGTGAGTGAGTGAGTGAGTGAGTGAGTGAGTGAGTGAGTGAGTGAGTGAGTAAAAGTGAATGCTCCCAGAAAACAATGACTTTACCACTGGTACGATGAAGGATACTCTGTTTCTGACAAGAAAAATAGTGAATACCATTTCACCTTTTCACTTTTCACAACATTTCTTGAAATAACACTCACCAAGCTTAATGTTACCATAAGTTATACCTTCAAAGGGCTCATACAAGATTCATGACTGCTCAAAACATCCTGCTGCATAACATAGCATAATTAAGTATAATCCTCTTTTTTCCTGGTGGGTAAACCAAGGCACATAAAGGTTAAGTGTGAGATCACATCGTTACTCATGTGGGCAAAATAGTAACTAGAGCCTAGAACCCTGGCTATGGATAAGTGAATCCTGAAGACTCTGTGCAGGTATGGCATCATTCCAGAATTGAAAATTTATATACAAGCCCCT